CAGCAAGCTCTTGCGTTCCTGCGGATCTTGAACGACCTCCCCCCACAAAATCTGCCAGATGTGATTGAAGACTTCTTCCGTCTCTCCTCTAACGCCGTTCGGTACTACCCCAAGAAGTATATCACTTCCTCCCTCGCCGTTCCCATCTTCTCCGCCGCACTCAGTGCTCTCACTCTTCAACAACTCGACCCTCTCATCGCTACGCTGCATTATTACCGGGATTTGTTCGGATTTGCATTTGACAAGCCTATGGTCTCCCAGTTCACCAGTCCGGAAGGCCAGCCTTACGTTACCCCGCCTGAGGTTCGCGAGGCCGTTAAGGCGTTGATTATCTCGCAGGGTCAGCCTTTGGCACAGCGTGTGTTGACGGGCATGATGTTCACTTTCCCAGGTGACTGCTTCGCTGATGCTTCGGGGGTATTGATGACGATGTTCGAACTGCTCCCCCAGGAAACTGGGGCATGGCTGCAAACCACACTTCAGATGTTGCCTAGTGGCACGATGAAGCACGGCGAAGCCGAGCGACTGCTGAAGAATGTCTCTGACAAAGTCCAGTCAGGAGAGACCCGCAAAATCCGTGTTCTCCTCCAAGGTTAGTCCCCGTCCCCGTCCCCGTTCCCTTGTTCTTTGTTGTCTCATCTAACCCCGCCCAGACTTTACCAACTCGTATCGCCGCCGCAATGTAGCCCCACGTGATGGCCTTGGCCGTCTGGAGGCCGCCCGATTCCGATTCAGCGGATGAGAATGTCGCTGTAAATTTTTCAGTGCTGATCAGCACTAGAAAAGAAAAGACCCCCCCCGGGAGCATTTACACAAAATCTGGCGTCAGTTCCTTGCTATTAACGTGCCATGCGGTACGATACATGATGGGATGGCATGAACTCGGTGTGATGATTAATGACCTGCTGGTACGCCGGCCTGACCAGAACCTCTGGCTTTGACATTGCTACCATTCAGGTGTTGTACGAGGTCAACCTGTATCTAGGTATTCAATAGTCGCGACTCATTTCTGCATTGAGATGCAGCGCACTTTCTGTGTGTGGTCATTCGATTACGAGTAATGAATCTATTGAGCATCAACATTCTAGTGGGAGAGATGTATATATAACTGATTAGGCGTAATGATATGGTAGAATAGGCCTACAATTATACTCCTATACACATACTTAGGTATACATATGTTGTATACTACTTTGGGATATAACTACGCGGACAGACTCACCAATAAAGTCATCTCCGCCACAACCCCACCGAGATCTCCGCACTTCCCCCGGACAACCCTCTCCAAGTCCCCTTTGAGCTTCATTTTTTTTTTTTTGAACTCATTTCTGCTCTCTATTGGACCCTAGTTTCGTGTTCAGACATTCTTTTCCAATCCACTCTCTAGGTGATCACCGTGCCATGGCATGAAAAATGGAGATCGACGGTCAACCCTCCAAGAGACGGCGACGCAGTCGCAAAGTTCTCTCCGATCGCAAGTTTGAATGCACCTTTGAAGGCTGTGGGAAGAGCTATTCTCGCGCCGAACACTTGAGCCGACATGCACTCAACCATACCCCAAAACAAATTTATCGCTGCGACTTCCCCAACTGTTACCGGTCGTTCGTGCGACAGGACCTCTGCACGCGCCATCGTGAACGTCACACCACCAGCGGTTCCCAGCTCCAGAAACGAGATCATTTCACCGAGAATGACACGAAAACTTCACCGACTTCCTCGCCTGCTATCACCGCGTCCGAATACTTTGTTGGCTCGGAGGAGCGCAAATCTTCGGTGACAACATACCCCCTCACCACCGGAGTGGAGAGCAATGAGATACCAGTGGACCAATACGCGGATTTTCCGGCGGTGCTGGACCAGCCCGATAATCTCATCGACCTCGACTCCATGTCCTACCCGATCTTTGGCGGGGAAACCTATAACCGATCACCATTCGCTATGGCAGACGATTTTGCAGCGTGGCTATTCAGCGAGCCACTCGCGCCGTTGGGCTATGGAATGGTACCACTTGTTCAGAATCAGTTCTACATGAACGAGCCTGCATATAGCGACAACAATTTCTGCTCGGTGATTCCACAGCATCCAATGAGCGTGACGAGTATTCTGGACTCGGGGGCACCTCCGGCTGTCATCTCAGAGGGCAAGCGTCAGGAGCTGCTGCACTTGATGTCGACGAGATTCAATGAAGCGGCATATGCGGCGGGCACTAAACGCAAAGATGCGCTGATGGACGGGGATTTGAATAATGACCGACATGCCTTGAGCTTGCGCATGATGCAGACGTACATTGGATCCTATTGGTACCACTTCCATGCACAACTTCCAATGTTGCATCAGCCAACATTTAGCGCTGATCGTACCCCGATTTTATTACTACTAGCGATTATGGCGATTGGCGCGGCAACGTTGGATAAAATTCATGGCCAGGCTGCTACCGAAGCAGCGGCTGAATTGGCTAGCTTCATTGCCTGGCATTTGCGTTGGGAGATCTTTATGGATGCGGACTTTCGTCCACCGGCTAAGCTTTGGGTGTTCCAATCTCTGTTACTACTTGAAGTTTACGAGAAGCTCTTTTCTACACGCGCATTACATGAACGCGCACATATCCACCACGACACAACACTCACGCTCATGCGTCGAGGTAGTTCGCTCATCGGTAACTTTTCATTTGCTACCCCGGAAGCCAAAGAAGAAGACGAGTCATGGGCAACCTGGATCAAGGCTGAAGCGACCCGGCGCGTGGCATTCGCCGCCTTTGTATTGGACTCAACGCATGCCACTATGTTCGGCCACTCGGCCAAAATGGTGGCCCATGAATTGCGGCTGCCATTGCCCTGTGATGAGGCGCTGTGGGGTGCAACAAGCGCTGCTGAGGTCGCTCGCGTTCAATCTAGTCTGCAGTCGCACGGTGTGCGGCCAGTTATGTTCCTCGACGGTCTCAAGCGTACACTCAATGGCCAACCCGTCCGGACCAACGCGTTTGGGCGAATTGTTATCATGTCAGGCTTGCTGAGCGTCTGTTGGCATCTAAACCAGCGAGACCTGCAGATTAGCTCGCTTGGTGTGGGCCAGGCTCTTGGGGGACGAGATAAGTGGCGGACAGCACTTCTTCGAGCATTCGATAACTGGCGCCGCGACTTCGACGAAGCCTTGGGCCCGTCGACCACATCCGAGTCGCGCAATGTGCTGCATGGGCTGGCCCATATGGGCTCCCATGTCGATATAGCCGATCTACAGATCTTTGCAGGCGCTGGCCGGTTAATGGGACGGTCTATCACAGCGCGTGACTACGGCGCCGCACGAGAAAAGACCGAGAAATGGGCAACAAAAGCTTCGGCGCGGGATGCCACATTCTACGCTCTCAAGTTCCTAGCTGCCTGTTTTTTAGATCCGGATACACCGCCTGGGGAGTATGCTGCACGCGATGACTATCTGTTAAACCGGCCGTGGGTTATGTACTTCGCCGCGCTGGTGGTATGGACCTACGGGTTTGCGCTGGATGGACCCTTGCGACCTCTCCCTATTCTCACGACGGTGGCCGACCGGGAACGCGACATGCAGGCTTTCTTGTCTCGCATGGGCGAAATCCAGGAACCCAACGAATTGGAGGCCATGAGTGGACGCAATGGGTGTCTCGGTCTGTTAATGATTCTCCGAGACTCCTTTGCCAAACCACGGTGGGAGTTGTTAGGAGAGGCGGCGCGGCTGCTGGACAGCTGTATCGCAAAGCTGCAGTCGTAGCATGTATGATGTTGTTGATATACCAAATGATTATGTTTCTATTATTTTATGATTTGGCCCTCTATAACATAAAGTATGCACTATAAGTATACAACCCCTGTAAATAGCGCCATGTAGCGTTGCCCTAACAACCACCGTCGATCCCACACCAAGTTCCCCCTCCCCGACCTTCACCTCCTAATCTGCATTTTTGTTTCCAATCTCCAATACTCCAATTTCTAAATATCCAACTAAAATGGTGAGTTTCTCAAATTCCTCACTGTTGATGGACTTCCTATTCCAGCGGTTCGCCCCTTCCAAGGTTTCCGCCTATGTAACCACACGGAATCGCCCGTATCCCCTCGGATCTTCCCCCCTCACCTCCAACCGTGTCATTAAAGCATTGTCTCTACATCTTCATCATGGCTAATAAACACGATCAGGCCTCTACAAACTACAAGGAAGCGTTCTCACTCTTCGATCGCCGTGGTACCGGCCGTGTCGCTGGTGACCTCCTCGGTGACCTGCTCCGCGCTTGCGGTCAGAACCCCACGCTGGCTGAAATTGGTGACTTGGAGAAGTCTGTCGGTGGTGACTGTATGTTTTAATTCCTTGATTTGGATATTGTTTGGTGGATTGGTCGACGAGATCGCGCCTCATCCTCCATCACAGGAGAATCCCTGGCTAACTCTTTCTGTCTAGTTGACTTCGACTCCTTCCTGAAAGTCCTCAACCGCCCCGGTGGTTTCCGTGAGCCTGGTGAGCCGGAGGAGTACTGTCGTGGATTCCAGGTCTTTGATAAGGATATGACTGGATTTATTGGTGTCGGACAGCTGCGCTACAGTATGTTTCGTCCCCGGATAATATGCGCTTGGAAGGGACATTGCTAACATTCGGCATTTGCAGTTCTCACGAATCTGGGCGAGAAGATGTCTGACGATGAAGTCGATGAGCTGCTTAAGGCTGTTGACACTAGCTCCGGAGAGATTAACTACACGGGTATGTTCTGAGCCCAGAACGGGTTATATATGTGAAATTGCATCTACTAACTCTCTTCCTAGATCTTGTCCGTACTATCCTCGCCAACTGATACCCCGATATGATTAACGTTCGATATGGAAATGGCTTTGTCTTGAGGGATTGAAATTCGGCGCGTTGGAACCTTCGTCTTGTATGTTTTTTTATTTATCAAATACACTGTATTATTCTGCTTCAGGGGGTATCGCTTTTGGTAGAATGTAGATATAGTAGATCTACTTCTGTACCTAAATTGTACACATCTAAATAGCCCACTCCCTCCACTCCCTCTCCCCAACCCCCTCACCCCCCAACTTCTCCGTCTCCACAACAGCCCCAGGAAGAAGATAAACAGCCGGCGGCCGCTCCTCCTGTTCCCCATCTCGCACCCCCACTCCTCGATCGCCAGTAGACGCCCAATGCACCCGATCCAAATAATACCCCACAACAACCTTGCACCGCCCACACCTCAAAAGAATCCTCTTCTCAATCCCGTCTTCCCGTCGGATCACCGTCGCCCGTCGGTCCGGGATCGTAGTGGCGAGGAGGAGCGTCGTGTGGCTAGAGGTATGTCTAGTTTTGCGCGATGGTGTTTCTGTTGCCTTGGCTTCTTCTTCGAGATCCGCTTCCACTTCCCCGTCTGTTGAGTTCTTGCGTTCGAGTGGTAGGATTAGCGCTTTGTCTTTGCCTTCGCCGCTGCGTCGGGGTAGTGTGCTTATGTTGCGTGTTGTTGCTAGCAGGAGATGGTTGCAGAAGCGGCAGTGTTGGGTTTGAATTGGGAGGCGTTGGTCTGTCATTTTGGGAGGTTGGTGGCGTTGTGCCGTGGGTGGATTTTTGATTTCGCACTTTTGAGCTGATAGGAATCGAGAAGCTAGAGCTGGTGTGTACAGCCAGATATCGATTATTATGTCGGTGATCCGAATTGATAGCTGGGGTCTTGGTTAGTCATTTGCGCGGGTTTGGGCCGGGATTATCTTTCCGCTGGAGGTTAATCAGTAGGCACTTACCGGTGATTGGATGGATGTGTTTAATCTGAGACTCTGTGCTGTCTTGTATGCCAAAGTTCCTAAAACGAGGAAAAAGAGAGCTGTTGAGTTGCGAAGAACTGCAGAATAGCAAGGCGGTGTGCTTATCAGTATAGTATCAGCCATGTACAAGTTCAAGCTAACTAGTTAACTAGTTAAGTTAGTTACAATATAGTTAGTTAGTTTAAGCTAGAGAAGTTATTTATATGCCGACCAACATTCATGAGCACAAAATATGCATTCGTATAACTCTGATATAATTTAATAAAGATATAGTGTATAAAGGCGTTCATAAGCTCCAATAGCTGTAAATGCTGCGTACCACTTTATGCCAATCCCAGGTCCTTATAGAATGCATCAGTCTGAGGCTCACGACCCAAGAATTCGGTCAGAGTCTTCATCTCATCTTGGCTACCACCCTTCTCCAGAACCTGGTAGCGGTAGCGACGGCCAGAGGCCTTGTTCATGGGATCGCTCTTGAAGACAGTGTAAAACATGTCGGTGGAGTAGACTTGGGAGCTGTAGAACAAAATCATGAGTATTTGAACAATATAGACCCACCAGACAGAATCAACTTATAAACTTACCTCAGGTATCCGTAGTATCCGGCGTCGTAACCTCCGATCAAATGTCCGAAGGTCGCCTCGCCGTGACCCCACTCGCTGCCAGCGCCCTGAACTTCTGGTCCGTCCAGCTGGGTAATCTCCTGGCGGAGTCGGTTGTATGTCGCAGACAGAGGAAGAGCCTCAATGTCGGCGTGGGTCTTGGGCTCGTGCACGGTCATGTCGAAGATGCCGAAGTGCAGCTGGCGCAGGTTGAACAGGGAGTCGTTGACGTGCTTGGTGCGGATCAGGTTCTCAATCACATCATCGGGGATGCGCTCTGACGGCTGGCTGGCGGTCTTGCTCTGCTGGGCCTCCTGCCAGCTAGAAAGGTATTCTGGGGAGAGGGTTGAGTAGTGTCGGCTGAGAGAGCGCAGCTGTGAGGGTTCCCAGCACCAGTTCTCCAACATCTGGCTGGGTGCCTCGACAAAGTCCCGCACTGTGCTGGTTCCGTGGAAGCGGGAGTAGATGGTTCGAGACACGAGGTCGTGGATGCCGTGGCCTAGTTCGTGGAATAGGGTCACAACCTCGTCGTGCTTGAGCAGACTTGGCTTCTTAGGTTGGGGCTTGGTGAAGTTGCACACCAATGCGGTGGCAGGGAATCGGCGGTTACCATCCTTATCAACGAAGCCCGGCTGCAGGTTGAAGTTGGCTGCATGGCCATACTTGCCCTCGCGAGGGAACAGGTCCAAGTACAGGTATCCAACGAACCCACTACCCTCGCCCTCATCGTTCCACACTGTGAACACTTGGACATCCTCGTGCCAGACGATATCATTGCCCTGGCCAGTCGGGGCAATAGCCGCCCGATCCTCACCAATGATCTCAACAAACTCCAAACCGAACAGCTCCTCGAAAATCTTCAGCATACCATCAATGGTTGTCTGCAAGGGGAACCACTCAGCAATAAGCTGTTGATCCAGCGAGTAGTCCTTTTCGAGCATGAGACGGTCATAGAACCGGTGGTCCCACAGGTAGTAGCGGCCATCGGCCTTGGGGTCCGTGCCGTTCTTCAAATCCAGCAACTTCTGTATCTCCTTCTTACCGCCAGCGGTCAGTCTGTCCCGAAGATCACCCAAGAACTTGTTAACAGTCTCTGGGGTCTTGGCCATCTTATCCTCGATACGGAAGGCAGCGTGGTTGGGGTAGCCGATCAGACGGGCCGCCTCATCACGGAGCAGGATGGATTCCCGGAAAAGTGGCACGTTCTGGTTGCACTTGTTCTCGTTGGCAATCATGACTTGCCGGCGGGTCTCGGGGTCGCTGGCGTATTTCATGGTGGGGAAGAGGTCAGGGTACTTGAACGACAGCCAGAGCTTGCCGGCGTTCTCGCCCTCGCCCTTCTTGAGGCCGTCTAGAACGTCCTTAGGCACACCAGCCAGCTGCTCGGGGGTAAACCAAATGCCACCGTTCTCCTCGTTCAAGTTCTTCTGGAATTCAATGCTCAGCTGACTCAGTCGCTTCTTGATCTCCTTGAAGCGGAGTCGCTGAGGGCCAGCGGGCAAGCCAAGTCCATTGCGCACAAAGTCCTTATGTTCCTTCTCCAACAGACGGCGTGACTCCGGATCGAGAGACTCGTTGCGGCGCAGTACGGCGTCAACCAGACCGAAGACATCCTCACGCATGACCGCCTCAATAAAGAACTCATCCATCAGCTCTTCAGCCTTGGAAGAGGCATCCCGCAGCTTGGAGTCGGTTGACACAGCTTGGTAGAAGCCCAGGATGTGTGACTCTAGTCCCATCTGGTTGTCATCTTGGGCAAGGGGACGGATAACGTTGGCAAAGGTTGCGGCTTCGGGTTTGATCTCCGCCACCACCTTGTCCTGGATGGCACGCGAGCTCTTGATCAAGCGCTCGGCATCAGCGGTTAGTGACTGCGGGGTTGCGGTAAAGATAGGCGGAGCCTGGGGTGGCTTTCGGAGGTGAGCGGGGGCCATGCTGGAGGTCGTCAATAGTCGTGTTGGTACGTTGGTACGTAAGTGGCCCAGCACAGATGAGAGGCGGGCGGGGAGACGGAGGAAGGGCGCCACGATGATGGCTAAGAGGAGAATAAGGAGATGGAAACGAGCGGTGAAAGCAATGATGGGCGGGGATTGGATGCGGTGTAAAGTGGGAGGGGACACTTGGAGATATGGAACTTGTCAGGTGATCTGAAGCTGATGAGCTGATGAGATATCTACACTCTCTTGGCGTTTGTTTTCTGCAATGTCTTTACATATATGAAGTACTTCTATCTAACTACTGGTATTATATAGATGGTTAAAACAGTGGTAATAAATTACTGACCTATTGCCTTCTTACAGCTGGCCGTAATGAGTAAAAAGTAGATAGAAACCACATCTTGCTAGTTAATTATAGTTATCCTTTACCTACATCTAGAGCGGGTTCCAGGTACTAGTATTCTGATAACCAACCACAGCTGCCTGAGGCATCAAGAATTTCCAAGGTTATATTGAAACTATGAAGCTAAGAAAATGAATGAACAATTGAACAAGTCAAGATACAATTATTGGAGGCGCCAGGGCCTTCATGTACCTTAAGCAGACCAAATTTGATATTGCCGCTACATGGTTCATACGGGTTTTTTGCTTTATACATATTCATCTGCAGAATGAACGTGGTTTCTGTCAATCGACGTAACATGTGCTTATTTCGGTTTTTATCGCTGACATTGCAATTCCTCCTTCAGCCACTTAGCGCAATTGAGTTTCCGATCTAGAGGCTCTTTATCAAAGTCCCAAATCTCAACCAATTGTATACGAAGAAAGCTCTCGGATGCCCAAGTCAGATTTGAAAATTTCACACGGAGTTGTGGACAAGAGGTTGGCATCGAAAACAAGACGCATATGTCTGAGTCTTTTGAACTACTTCAGTAGCTGGACACATCTCAAAACGTGAAGAGCGGGTAAGCGCAAGTCAATATCTTCAGGGCTCGGCCTGAACTCCGAGTCGCTACTGCTGAGCCAAAAGAGCTCCAATGATTCAACGTTATTACGGCCGATTTCACCGATCGAGATTGCAAATTTGATGAAACTATCTATATCATCCCAACGGAAACCAATCGTTCGATATACGAATGGCAGTGCATCTTGACGCATCTGTTTGTTGACCAGCAGAGAGTGGATGTTCTGGCTCAACGGGAAATAAAAGCCACTCAAATCGCCAACCGACCTAGGAAACACGTAGGCGAGAAACTCAGACGGATCTCTTTCTTCCCATTCTTGCTTTAGGATGGCGAGATCAAGAATATCTAATCGGAGTTCGTGAGGAAGGCTCATCGCATTTCCATAGCCCTTATCAATGGGATTCTTTTCTAGCTGCAGGTTTGTTGAGTCGATGATGCCTGGAGTCACCGTTACCTTGGTCATTAATTTGATTTTAGACGCCTCCATTTCGGTCAATATGAGGGGTAAGACCAATCCAAATGAAAATTGGACGTCTAATGAGAACACAAAATATCCAATATCAGCGCGACGGTTTAGTTTGATAGTGGCTTCGTCGCTGGTAAGCGACTATACTCGAGTCAGACGAAACATAGTAAAGGTGGGCTGAAGCGAACGGGACTTACATGAGTCTCGCCCAGCCTTGGAAGCAAAGAGTCAGGGACTATTTGACGCTCTTCGTATTTATTTCTTCGATGTTCTAGCAGCTCCTTTTCAGTCCGTTCGTAGATATTTTTGGAGAGGGGTGAAAGATCCGAGTAAAAGCGCTCTTCCTCGTGGATATCATCACTTATGACCTCGACCTGGAATTGGGGTGTGGTGGTCTCTCGGCCCGGCCCGGATTCTGATAATAGTCTTACCGAACCATTCGCAGGATACGTCAGCTCATAATTCACCACATCTAGAGGCTAGAGCCCTAGAGCAAAGGATTGCTTGGTAATTGTGCTAAGTTTCAAGACATTGTGGACTAACTACATAACTAGTAACTAAATTAACGATATATTCTAGACTATGAAGGCCCACTATGAAGGGCCTTTAGGGGAGGTATGATCAGAGTGCTAAGGGCATATACAATACAAAATTACTACTACGAAGCAATTACAACTAGCACTGCGTATGTATTTAAACTAAACTATGAACCTTTATCTATAGTTCTAAATCCACTAGCTATATAATGTGCGTAGCCTAAGCGAGATTATATATATTAGACCGGAGTCCCGCAATACTCCCGCAGCACTCCTATAGCACTCCTATAGCACTATAATATAGTGCTATAATATAATGTATTTCGGGGTCTATATTATCCCCTTATTCTATATAGCTGCCTAAAGTCCTATTTTCTAACCTCCGTTAGAAAATAGACAGTATATTAAGTCATTATACACAGCCTTCTATACCCTATATTTCTAACCTCGGTTAGAAAATAGACAGTATATTAAGTCATTATATACAGCCTATACAATATATTAATTATAAAGATTAAAATAAGATATAGGGTAATTCATCCGGTCGTAGTACTATACTATTTAAAAAAAGGGTAAAATATAGGCTTTTACTATAGAAAAATAAAATCGAAACTATAAGGTAGAAACGGGAAGGTATATATATAGAGTAAATATATATATCTATACATAATACCCGTATATTCTCTTCTATATAATATCAACTACTAATTCTATACTATTTTAGGCTGATTTTACTTTAAATCTATATTTGTATAGTACTTAAAGCTTTTAATCTATTTTTTAAACGTGAGTTGATACGAATCTTAGTAGTAAGTGACTATAACTGCCTCCTAATACTAATATATAAGTAAAAAACAGTAATTTATCAAAATAAGTCAGCATTTTATCCATCCATTTTGGGTAATCCTTAGCAGAATTATACTAGCGCAGCACTAAAACTGGTGCTGCGACGGTGCTGCAGCACTTGGTGCCGCAGCACCATACAACAGCACCAAAATTGGCTTAGTCCCGCAGCACCTCGCAGCACCATATCGCAGCACCAAAATTGCCTTGGTGCTGCGGGACTTGTCAAGGCCTAATTACTAGCTTCTACGCTACTATCTATATAAGTATATGTCGAACGAAGGAACAGAGCAAGTGACTTGATACCAAGTTCTTACTATATGGAGCAAGTGGTAAAATGAGTGTAATTCTTGAGAAGTGCAAAGTCTTCTCTCTATATATCCCTAAGTGCTTACTAATAAGCAAGAAGTGGGTCCTACTTATATATAAAGAGAAAATCTAGTAATAACGGGACGGGTAAGGAGTTATTCTAGTCGATATACCCCCCTAGGAGCTACCTTCTAGTACTCTAAAGTTCTTTCTATTAAATAATCTATTTATCGACTAAGTACTAGATATTAACTAGCCTAAGTACTTCGATAAATACTTTATAAGCTTACTTTAGAAGGAGTTTTATAAGGCTATCTATCTATATATCGGTAGTAGCTACCTACTATATCGTAACGTATCCTTTATTTATTTCCTAACGAAGCTAATAATAATAAATATCGATATATTATAACTTAGTATAAAATTATAGCTATTCTTTAGTAAGTAAATCTATAGTTTATTAGTTATTATAATCGATCGAGAGTCTAATATTATAATTAAGATCGACTATATAAAAAAGCCTTTTTTATTATATAACTATCTTACCGGCTTCTAAAATAGTAAGTAGCTCTATCTTTATAGTTAATATTATTACTATCTTTTACTTACTTATCTTTTAATTAATAGTAGCTCTAAAAAGCTTATAAAAAAAACCTTCCGAACTTTTCCGATTAATATAATTACTAAAGAAAGTATCGCTTAAAAAAAAAAAGAATAGGCGTAAAATATATTAGATAATATTTAAGAATAAAAAAATAGATATTATAAAGATACTAGATTAATCGATTTATTATTTTTTAATACTTAAGACCTAGATTTATAAAAAACTTAATTAAATAATTAACTACCTTCGCTATATTTAAATAAATAATAATAGTTAGATAAAGAGTAGAACCGAGCTTCTATTAATATTTATAGATCTACTTTTTACTTATTATTCTAGTAAATTTTATTATTTTATTTATTAGAAATAGGATTTTATATTTATAATTATAAGTAAGACTATAATAGATCGCTATAAAAAAGATATATAAATCCTAATAAAGCTAAAGTTTATACTTAATAATATCTTAAAAAATCTTAATCCTAAGAAACTAAATAGCTTCTCTTATTTCTTAGAGCTTTTAATAATCTTTAAGATCTTATTTTAATTAAAGAGCTTACTAATACTTTATCTAGTAAAAGATAATAATAATATTATCTATATAAAAAAAGATAATTATATCTTTATTTATAAATAAGTAGAGATCTTTAGATATAAAGATAAATCTAAGCTTTTTAAGTATATATATAGCTTCTTATTATTATAGATATAGCGACTTCTTAAGTTTATAGAGTACTTTTTATAGTCTCTAGATATTATTTCTATTATAAAAGCCTTTAAATATTTAAGTATAAATAATATTATCGAGATTACTATTTAGGAATATATTAATAGTATTAAGCTATATTATATTAAAATTAAATATAATAATAAATATAAATATAGCTCTTATTATTTAAGTAGTAAGTATTACTACTTTTTTTTCTTTAGAATTAATAGTTTAAAGATTACTTTTTATATAAATCCTAGCTTTTAGCTTAATTAAAAAGCTATTATTATTAAATTTATAGATAAATATCTAGATTAAAAGAAGTATCTAAATACTTCTATTTTATAAATATAATTCTATTTTATATATTTTTTTTATCTTAATTAATTTAGCTTTAAGCTCTATAATAGCGAAGAAGTCTTTAGTAAATAAGTAATTAAGTATCTCCTTTTATATTTATAACTTTAGAGGAAGATCGTCCTAATATCTATTTAACTAAAAATAGTTTACTAAAAAGCTAGTTATAAATATTATAAGTATTAGTTTAAACTTATCCTTAGGGCTATTATAAATAAGATAGCTTATTATATCTAAGTTTTTATAGACTCGTCTTTATCGTCTATCTTAGAGTATATTAGATAATATAATATCTCCTTAGATAAGTATTTTTAATAAAATAGTAGTTCTTAATATTTTAACTTTAGAGAAAATATTAGATACTTATTAAACTAATAAATTATATTAGTCCGGTTATATTTAATAAAATAGTACTATATCTTAATTATCTTATTTTTATAGAATCTATTTTTATAGTTTCTTTAGAATAATTATAGTAAAGAGCTTATTATCTAATATAATAGATATATAAGATACAGCTATTAATAGTAAAGTAATTAAAGAAGCTTCTTTATTTTATAAAAATAAGATCTCGATTAGTTATAAGCTTTATAAAGTACTTTCTAGTAAAGAAATAGTATTTAATAATAGTAAAGATATTATATAATAGTATTAAAGATCCTTCTTTCTTTATTTATTTTTAGTAATATAATCTTACTTCTACTCTAAAGGATCTTAGAAAGTATAATCTTACTCCCTATTCTAAAGATTATTTTATATAATTAATATTATATTTATTTAGCGAATCGCTCGCTCTAATTTTATATTAAGTTTATTTTTATTAATAATATTAGCTATCTACTCTTAATAAATCTTTAGTAATTCCGAAGGATACTTTCTATAATTTAGATTTTTATCGAAAGTAGTATTATAAACGAACTTATAATTATTTATTTAAAGAAACTAGACTTTCTAGATACCAGCTACCCGTAAGCGACCACTTGGGGTGGATACGCATACGGGTGATATTTTGCTGAGCTTAGCAGAAGCAAAAGGATTTAGCTTTCAAGAAGGCTTAAGAAGATACCTATAGCCAGGTCTATATAGGGATATAGGCGATAAAGAGTAGTAGGGGAATTTAACCTCCTCCCACCCCCCACCCCTAAGGGGTGGGGGGGTAGGGGAGGAATTATAATACTTAACTAAGATATTAGTCCTAGAGAGAGAGTATTAGCTATATAGGCAGCTGCTAAGCTAGCTAGTAGCTAGATTAGTAGCTAGTAGCTAGATTGGGAGCTAGGAGCTAGATTAGTAGCTAGGAGCTAGGTTAGTAGCTAGGTTAGTAGCTAGCTTAGTATCTAGTAGATAGTTTACTATCTAGGCTACTATCTAGCTTAGCAGCTAGTTTAGTAGCTAGTTTAGTAGCTAGTTTAGTAGCTAGGTTAGCAGCTAGCTTAGTAGCTAGCTTAGTAGCTAGCTTAATATCTAGTAGGTAGTTTACTATCTAGGCTACTATCTAGCTTAGCAGCTAGTTTAGTAGGTAGCTTAGTAGGTAGCTTAGTAGGTAGCTTAGTAGGTAGCTTAGCAGCTAGCTTAGTATCTAGTAGGTAGTTTACTATCTAGGCTACTATCTAGCTTAGCAGCTAGTTTAGTAGCTAGCTTAGTAGCTAGCTTAATATCTAGTAGGTAGTTTACTATCTAGGCTACTATCTAGCTTAGTAGGTAGTTTATAGCTAGCTTAGCAGCTAGCTTAGCAGCTAGTTTAGTAGCTAGTTTAGTAGCTAGGTTAGTAGGTAGATTAGCAGCTAGCTTAGTAGCTAGCTTAGTAGCTAGCTTAGTAGCTAGCTTAGTAGCTAGCTTAGTAGCTAGCTTAGTAGCTAGCTTAGTAGCTAGCTTAGTAGCTAGCTTAATATCTAATAGGTAGTTTACTATCTAGGCTACTATCTAGCTTAGTAGGTAGTTTAGTAGGTAGCTTAGTAGCTAGCTTAATATCTAGTAGGTAGTTTACTACCTAGGCTACTATCTAGCTTAGTAGGTAGTTTATAGCTAGCTTAGCAGCTAGTTTAGTAGGTAGCTTAGTAGGTAGCTTAGTAGGTAGTTTA